ATTAATTTATATTTGATAATCTTAGAGAAAAATTAGACTTTCGTTTTGTTTGTATGTTTACGGGATTTTCTTTTTCTTCTTATATGGGTTCTTGACTTTTAGAGAGAACAATGTTTGTACTATGCCGATTCCAAGTAACAAAGAAAAATGAACAGAACATAGCGAAGGAAAAAGAAAAGAAATAAACACCGGAGTTATTAAATAGAGAATGAAGATGCTGAATTTTGTTTAGTTTAGTTTAGTTTAGTTTAGTTATTTTTTTCTCAATAAGGAGTTATAATGAGTTAAAGAGAAACAAAGAAAAAAAAACAGAACAAAATGAAACGACAAGCACAATGTAAGCGGAAATAAATCGGAGCAAAAAGAATGGGATAAATATAAGTTTGATGATGTTTGGTTTTCTTTTTGTACAGTCTCACACGCACACATAGAAAAAAAGAAAAGAAATCAAACGCGCATACATTTATGTATGTCAAGAATAATATAACAAATGGTTCAGTTTTTTAATCGAAACTGCTCAAAAGATAGTTAGCTGCCAATTCTTCATTGCGATCACAAGCAAGAAATGCTTCAATAACACGATTACGTTCAAAACCCATATCTTGTAACTAAAAAAAAAAAGAAATTATTCATGAAATTTTCTTAATTAAAATTTCAATGCAAAATGATAACGAACTCTATTTATTGCTTGTTGATCTTGAGGTGAAAGTGTAATTGTAACTGTTCCTGGTGGACCTTGACCGCCAGCACCTCCAGCAGCACCACCTTGTAATGGATCATCATCATCACCACCTTCATCAAGTTCATCCGCTTGATTCAATAATTCAAGAAATTCTTGTGGTCGTTGTTCAATTAACTATTAAACAAAACAATAATTAAGAATATGAAAATTGATTTATATATATATATATATATATGATTTTACTCGATAAAGATCGGGTTGAGTAGCTTGTAATGTTTGCATAAGTGTTTGAAGTTGATCAGGATTTTGTTGAATTAAATTACGTAATGCTTGAAATTGTGGATTTTGACTTAATTCAGATAAATCGTCTGCTAAAAATTTTCATTAATTTAGAAAAAAAAATTTATACATAGGATCAATTTTATATCAGTCGAAATATTTTATTCCAAATTTTATTACATAAATTTCTTACTATAAATTACAGTTTTTTATTACATTTTAGGAATATGATCTTTCTCACACTGGGAAATTTTCATAAAGAATTTTAATTAATGTATTTGGTCTTTTAAGATTGGTTGACGCTAAACTATTTCACTTCTCTAAAACTTTTTTACTATTTGTAATCTCAGATTCATAGGTTAAAAAAACGTTATCATAGTAAAATATAATTTATTACCTCCACCTGGTCGTCGACCGCCAGCTGAACTTTCTGAACCAGTAGGTGTTTGTCCTGATTCACCTCCTTGACTTGATGCCGGTCCTTCATTAAGAATAGGAATGTTACCCTAAATAAAATTTAAAATTCAATATAAAAAAAAAACAAATAAACAGAAAGAATTTTATTAATTTACTGTAATTAAATATTCGGCGGCACGTTCTACATGATAGAAACTTGCACGTAATGCTAAATCTGCTTGTGTACGATCAAAACCCATATCTGTTAATTCGCGTAAAGCTTTTTCACGAGCTTCAGCTGATAAAAATGTATCTTGTGAAGCAGCCGAAGTACTATCAGTTGGAGTTGTTCGAGGTGGTTGTTGTTGTTGTTGTTGTTGTTGTTGTGAAACCGAACTTGATGCTGGTGGTGGAACATTAGTTGCACGATTTTGTGGACTAGAAAGAAAATTTTCTTTATCTTTTAAATGTAATATTTTCTTCTAACTAACCTAGCAGGTCTAGGAGGATTGCTTGGTACACTAGTAGAACCTGTAGATGTCTATGAATAAAAAAAGAAGAATAGAAAAATTATTGATTACATTGAACTGTTCGAATTGACTTACTGCTGAAGCTTTAGGTGGTGCTTGTTTAACAACAACAAGAAAACTATCTTGATTTATTGAATAAGATTCAAGTGTTTTTGAATCTTCAAGAATTTTTCCAGAAAAAATTAATTTTACTGCATCAGCCTCATATTTATCCTTGAGATCTTTTGATGCTATTTTTTCTTTTATTGTTCTTACCTAATCATAAGAAAAAAAAATTATTTTTTCAATAATTTAAAAGAAAAAGTATTTTTTAAAAATCTTACCGAATCAGATAATTCACATTCAATTGTAAATTTTTCATTAGATAATGTCTTAATTTGAAGTAGCATTATTGATTTATAATCAATATGTAATACGTAGATGAGAAATGGATACTGAAATAGGCAATATTCTAGAAGGAATTTATACTTGTATGTTGATGAAATAACGTGCAAATGAAAAAAAAACGATTCTATGAATCAACATTACATAGAAAAAAAAAACAACAATAATCATAGACGATCGAAGAATCCATGTTTTTTTTTTCATATATAACATCATATATTAGTATGTAACGTGGATATAAAAACGAATCATATCTATATGCACCTAAATATTTCATTCGTGATTCAGTTAAAATAAATATGAGTACATAATTTTTCATCGAACTATAATTAATTACTAATTCAGCTCACCTATCACTTTTTTCATTTATTTTCTTACAATTTCATATGAATGATGGCGCTATGTTACAATAACGTTTTAAAAAGATTCATGTAAGAAATGAAAACACATGGGATACCCGTTTTTATATGATTATAATTTGATGACTTACATAGACTAGTAATATAATTGTACATGAACAATGTTCTATCATGTGATATTAAATATCGCATGATAGAATATCTCCTACAGGAATACCAAATCTACAATCTTCCTATATGAAAACGCAGTGCTTTTAATAGTGACTTTGACAAGAGGAAAAGGATTAAGACCTTAGACTGGTTTATGAGGACTATCTCAAGTAGTATCCACACGTTTCTTCTAAAACAGAAAAAGATTTCGAAATGATCATCCTTCTTCTTGAATCCAGTCACCTTTCCAAGAACCTTCGAACTTCTCCTAAGGTCTCATCTAGTTCTTGAAATGAAAATAAAATCTATATTGATAATTTTAATATTTATGATTATATACACGCTATATATACGAAGTATCAGCGCCACAGAATTCAGTCAAAACATTTCTCAAATCATTACAATCGATTCAGCTGCCGAAGAGAGAAGAATGTTATCACTGTTTATCCAAGTTTGAGAGATAGGCGCACGTCTCTAAAAAGCGTTTTCACACTCTCGGAGTCTTGCATTACTTTTCTAGATGAGAAAATCTACTTAAAAATGGAATATTACTGTGTATCTCAAAATTATACAGATTTTTTTTTTGTTACTTTTTAGGAAAGAATGAACTTTTGTTTTTCGTACCGTAATTCTTAAAAATATAAACGTGTATGCTTCATATTTTCTTTATAGATACCAATCATGAACTTTCATCATTAACCATGAATAATCATTTTTCTTTTTTCCTCTGTTCAAGTGTTTGACCTAAACACAAACATGTTGATTGTTTCAAAACATTAGATGTCGCTTTATTAAATTTTTCGTTATTATTTTCATATTTCGATATTAAAATTATTCTAAATAATTAATAGACTAAATATTTTTATAAATATAATTTTTTAAAATAAATGTTTAAATTCTAATGCATAAATGAATAAAATTTTAGTAAATAATTTTATGATTCAGAAAAAAACAGAGATAACTATAAAAGATAGATTAATTAATTAAATGCTTAATTTCTATTTTCGAGTTAATATATATATTCTTTGAAAGATTATTTAATCGATATATATTCGAATAATTTTATTTTTTTTTAATAATAAAAAAAAAAAAAATAATTCCCTAGAAAAAGTCAATTGTTCAGATGGTGCTACATTCTATTTAATTATTCGAACAAAGACCTAATATTTTCTACCAATCAAAAGTTTACAATACAAACACATATGATGGTTATTTGAATTGTTGAATGACTCTGTTGTCTTCGTCGTTGAATGTAGATGGAAAATTTAATTGTGTATTAGTTTAGGAAAAACAAAATGAATGAAGAAAAAGAAGAGCCTATCTTAGTTGCTCCAAATCTTATAAAAGAAGAATCAATGTCATCAATACCAATGGATACACATGATGGTGAAACGACTTCAAATAATGTTGATTCAACATTAGATGAAAAAGAAAAAAATCGTCTTAATTATGATCAACGTCGTATTAGTTTATTAAATAATCCAATGTATGGTGTTATATTATGTTTTTTGGATAAATTCCGTACACATATTGATTTACAAGATTATCCGTTACATTTACTTGAAGAAAATCTTCTAAGTGATCAAGAAAATAGTATGAAAAGATTTTAGATTGTTTTTTGCTTTTTATAAATTGTTTATTTTACTTTTTATTATAGTTAGTGGTCGTTTAATTGATTTTCATATAACTTTATTAAAACGAATATCATTAGGAAAAGGTGCCCATCGAGATAAATTTGTTCCAATTATTACTAAAGTATTATTCAAATTATATATATAGATATATTTTTATCAAAAACAAAAATAAAATTTTTTTTTTTGTTTATTTAGTTTGCATATCGTTTTGATTATGATGATGGAGAACATTTAAAAACTAATGGTTATTCACAAGCAGAAATTGATATTAAACTCCGTATTTTAAAAGTAAGAACAAAAATGCGTAGTTCTTCGCAAGTACATGTTGGATTTGAGACTCTGTTTGTACTGTAATTTGATTTCAATTAGTTGCATTCGTTATGAAGGTTTACATATTCAACTGAATTGATTATTACAAAAATCGGAATTTTTTTTTGTTTGAGGTTTAGTCTGAATCAATTCTAGGTTTATGAAGTTTCTATGATAAATCAATCAAATCGACAAAATAAAGTCATAGGATAAGCTATGAATTAATTTGATTCATTAACTAGTTGATCAAAATATGAGTATTTAGTTCAACTTTGAAAACATATTTTTTTCCGCAATATATAATTTTATAGATGGTATAATAACAATCACATTATAAAATATAAGATAACTACATATTTCAGAATTAGTGACTGAATTTTATCGTTTTATACATTCATTATTACTGAACGATTTAGAATTTTGTTTTGAATGATTATTTTATCTCGATACACATGAACGATTTTTCACAATGAAACTGTAATTGCATATGATTCATAACTGTATTGAATTATTGTCTCTCTATGTAACCTTCGTTTGTCCTTGTGGACTAATTTATAGTAAACGATTTTGGTGTAAAATTTTGTGAAAAATGATTTAAACAATTATTGATGAATGAGAAGAAAAAGGAAAATATTGTTTATTCATTCTAGAATTTATTAGAAACACAATTTGATCATAATCAAACATTTAAAACAGCTTTACTCGAAAAACAATCATTCGAAGTTCGTTCACAACCGTTCGGTCGTGATCGTTCTGGTGCATCATATTGGTTGTTTATGGTAAAATTAAACTTTGTTTTTTTTTTTACAAATCTTTATTGGAATTTTTTTAGGACAGCGAATGTTTTATACGTTTATTTCGAGAAAATACAGATGATGAACGAGCATGGACAAATATTGCAAAGTTAGTTATTTATAATTTATAATAATTATTATTAATTTAAAAAACAAAAAACTTATTCTAGAGACAAAGATGAATTAGAAAATATTATTAAAATACTTATTACTGATTATATTGTACGAAAAAAATTTACTGGTAAATTTTCTTCGATTGAAATAATAATAATAATTCTAATTGACAAAATATTTTTT